TTACTGCTCATCTACCAAATAGTAGTAAATTTGTCCGTGACAGCTATTCTGTTCGTGAATGGAAAATTCAATTTCATCGAGTTAGCGAATACAGATCCATTCAGATCTTTTTATCATATCGTTTCGGAATAGAAGAGATTCGGACGCCACCCGATGGATCGCCATTCAAGAAGCTCGAGACGAACTCGAGCGTCCGTGTGGAGACAGAATGACGCCCGGCGTCTGCGTCGGTGTCCTTGAACCCTCGATACACGCGAACGTGTTTCCTTCGTCGGTGTTTTCTAGATTTCCCAGAAGGCCGCGGTCACTAACGCTCGGTTTGCTTCGATTATTATCGATCTCGTCGTGAATAGGTGTAGAGAAATGTCTGTTGAACGAACCGGGCATCAATTATTCGCTCGTGCCAACCTCGAGGACGCGTGTTTAATGCGATTACCGGGCCGCTGTTTGTCGCGCTCCATTGTAGAGAAAGATCTGTACGATTAACGGAGTTACTATGATACTTCTTGATGATAGCTGCTACTCTTTTCTGACTCCTCTATATTTTTTGTTCGTCGTGTACCACACGTACAAGATTGAATATTTTTTGGACGATGATTATTTAAATTATCTATGAAGATTGCAGGAAAAGAATAGGATAAGTGACACTTTACTACTTTTCTTTTACAGACAAGTTAATTTTCTCAACTCACTATTTCAAATGTTGCTTTAGATTTTCATGCTAAATAAGATTTTTGCGAATTTGTTTGAATCATCTCATACATAATACGAATATTTTAAAACGAAGTAAAAGGTTGTAATAATAGAAAAATATAATTATAAATAAATTTTTTTATATTATTCGTGGAATCAATTTCTATGTCTCAACTTATCAACAAATGCGTGAAATCGTGTAACAAATAAAATGTACTGAATTTTACATCAAAATACTAGCAGGAATGGAAAAAGTATATCATGCTTGACTACCGCGTTATTTCTGAACTTCTTAAATTTTCTTTGAATTCCTGAGTGCCATTGCGAAATACCGGTTATCGTCTCGGGGCGTTGTATGGAGAAACTTGTAAATTTCAATCTCTTTAGGGGAAGAAGGTTTAGGGTTTATAGATTTTCTTTAAAAAGTGATCACAATCTTCGAGGCTTGCTGCATTTTCAGGAACTTTTCAGAATTTTCATTTTGATGTAATTTACAATTTTCAATGAAAGGCGAATAAAATATTCTATGAGACTAATTTTAATTTAAAGTATTCTTTGACAGTAATTCACAGGAAAGTCAACAATGACCATAGTTCAATTGGTAATTTATCATTATTTTGTGATTTAGAACTTGTTATGTGTTCTAGAGAACTAAAAATAGAACTTTGGCCTATGTAGAGATTTTAAATTGTCTTTTAAACCCTCTTTCTGCATTCGTCGTCCACCATGTTTGGACAAAAATGAAAGTTTTTATTGAAAGAAATATTGGGAGAAGGGCGTGTCTGCGATGGCTAGGACAGATAACTCGGTGATCTCACTGAATTGACCGACTCGATATTTTTGGAGCAGCTATAAAAGGGGCGAACTTTTACAGCTCGATACAATCTCCAGACCGGATGTATGATAAACCAAGGGAAAAGGTAATCACGTTCAATTCACGCTTCTGAACAATCATCATACGCGCCATTAAAATTACACTGATATATTTCATAAATTGAAAAGTACAAAACAGCGATATAACAAATATTATTCCTTTAAATTCAAGTTGAAATTTCTGATTACTTATGTTATAGTTTCATACAACAAACAAAATTAGAAACTAAATTATCTATTTTATTTTTAAATTAACATAACGATGTCAACACAAAATGAGTATCGCCTGTATAAAATATATCCATTTGTAAAAAGAATATTTAATTTGCTCGAAGGGTTGACCAATTCGTGCCACGCCTGAAGCTTCTAAGCGTGCAGCGTCTCGACGAGGAAGAGAAATCGTACATGCAGTAGCGCAGAAACGTCAGCAAAGAATCTTGCAAACTCCCGAAGAACTTTTGCTCGAACTGCCGTGGATCAATACCTCACAGCTCGAGGAACGTACTTCTCGAACTTGTAGCCACTTCACGTGTTTGATGCTAGAGTAACCCGCATCTCTCCGCTTGGTTAACATGATGATCAAACCTTTGAATGTGTCAATCTTGCATCTTCGTGTACTTCTCACGTACTTCCGGAAAAAAGTAGCGAACAATCAGAAAAAAGCTCCAGATTTGAACTAAACCAAGGGGAATGGTTGGTTCGTTATTACACGAAACAATAAATCACGTTAAGTCTCGTTCAGATCTAATAAGTTTCTTCAGTTCTCAAAATTGAAAACTTCTTGACTGGTTACATTATTTATTCAAAAATTTACGAGTGTTATTTACTTTACTTACCTGAAATACACTTTCAAGTTTCAAGCGAAGTCGAGATTTTTCCGAATTCTGATTACATTATTATAGGAGGATGTTAGGATCATCAAGCGATATTTAGAAGTCTAGGTCTCTTAAAGTTCATTAAGAAGCTGTAGCCAATAAGAATGAGAACGTAGAAAAAAAATTATTGATACCTATGTGTACACTTGTAAACTGACAAACACAATATTATGTGCAGAGCGAGTTAGTAAAAAGTACCGTGTGGAATAACTCGTTATCTATTGATTTTATCAGAAAATGTTTGGAGTGAAATTGTATCTAAGGAGCTTGATCCGATAAGAATATTTTAATTTTTTAATACCTTACATTTTTTGAAGTACTAAGGTGAACTTGGAATTTGTAAACGGCACCACATATGTTTTATAATATTACATATACCCAATAACATTCAATGCAATATTATTTATACCGAAGAACGATTATTTTAGCAGATATTTTATTTTAAATTTGCCAAATTTAATGGTCGAAAGACAAGAAAATACGTGAAGAGGTATTGCCTCTGTCTTTCGTGTTATACGTTAAATTTAATAAATTAAGTTAAAAGCTAAACTAACAGTTTTTCAGTGTAAATAGGTTCATACTTTTTTGCAGAGAATATCCAGCTAGATTGATTAGTATTATAAAAAACGTATGGTACCGTTTAAAAAATTCAAGGTTTTCTTAATATTTTACAAAATATGATATTAAAAAATGAAAATGTCCCCACCTGTCCAAGCCCTTTAAATATAATAGATTTCACCTCAAACATTTTTTCGATAAACTCGATAAATAACGAGTTTTTCAGGTGGTAGTTTCTTCTTGCTCACCCTACGTATATCTACTAAATCACTTGATGTTAAACGTTTCATGGACGGAGTTTGACTTCCAACTCTGAAATGATTTTCGAGTTGGATCGCGATCGAACAGACAATTTTTCAACGCTTTGAACAGACCAGGAAGTCGACGGTTACGTTGCATGGTTGGCAGGTTGCCCACTGCACTTGACCTTGCACTTGCACCCGGGATCGTGCAAATTTTGCAACATTCTCGGGGTCACGGACGATTCTCATTTTAAACGGAGTTCGACGTTTATGCCGTTGGTTCACATTCGACACGTGCGGCTATTTCGCGCCTTTCACGGAATTGCACGCGTGCATGCGATACAACCGCAGACTTAAATGCGATGCTATTCCGAAGCGATATGTCGAAAAAAAAATGATACGGATAGCTACATGTAACTATGGTGACTTTTTGTTCTGATATTTCGCCGCTGATTGCTCGAGTTCAAACATATTAACGATTCATTACATAAATTACATAAATTACTTAAGGTAAAGTGTTTTAATATAATAAAAATTGAAAGAGAAACCGAGATACAGATATCGATTAATTAATAATATCTTTAATTAGGAATGTTTATTTGTTATTAGATGTAAGGAAGAATTATGCGTATTTCTCAATAAAACATAAATAAAATGATTTCAATCGTCCGAATATTCTGTAGTGGTCTACGATATTTTTATTCTTTTTATTTTTTTTTCTTTTTTTGTCAAATTCTAGATTCTAGTTTTCGAAGTTACGTGACTGGTTTTTAAAATCAAAATCTTCCTTGAAACACGTACAGTATTTACATGTTACGGTACAGTTATCGCCGAATTTAAGCTTGAACGAACCGTAGTATCGAATATACACTTCCTTCGCCATTATACTCGTTATCGTGTTCTAATATCAGAAATAAAATGTTAAAGAATCGAATGTCAAGGAGAATGCTAAACTACTTTAATTTAAAATGATATTGTGGGCTGTACTACTAAAATCTCAGAACACTCTGCTGTATTTAATACGTTTGACCAATCGAGTCAGAATAATCGATACATTCCATTTTATATCAAACAACTCGTTGCGTAAGGTATTTCAGAGACAAAATCTTCGGAAGCGTAATATCACGTCGCTGAAATTTCTATGAAATTCCTGCCCGATCATAAAAATCCTTGCTCTGATTTATTAAATTTTAACATCAGCCTTCAGCCATTCTCATTTTCCAATTTTCTTCTGCAATTTTCTAACTGAACACCTGCCATTTCTCACGATTTCAGTGACAGTGAACGAACGTATCACACGAAACGAAAATCTACAACCTCGAATAACCAAGAGAACACACTTTCAAAACAATTTGCGTGAATTTCATAATCGAAACTTCGAATAATGACAAGGTCGTCTTCAGATAAAATCTCTTCCCATATATATCTCTACGCGCTCACATCGTTTCTCATTTTCAAGTTATCCCTTTAGTCTTGCTTCTATCAAGAAGATGTAAAGAACAGTCCTCCATGTATATCGGTCTAGTGCATGTCACGTTGATAGCAAGTGCTATCTCAGCCGTGCAGGGCAAATATCGGTTCTTTCAGGCGAGAAATTTCACTAACGTTGAAGCCATCGTTTCCTGCACGAGCCTGACGGCGAAGCGTTTGTTCAATCCCGAGAGACGAATCGATGTGCTGTACGTCGTGCCTGCCACCTATCTCGAGGACGCAATCTCGAAAGTCTGCGTGGAAAACGCGCCAACTCTGGTCGTCGATCGTGCCGCGTTAGTTAAAAATGAACGCATACAAGGTTACATCGTGATCGAACACGGTAAATTTATTAATTCGCGTAGAATATTTCTGTATGGAAAGAAGAATCTACGCACGTTACAATATCTGTTCGTTACGAGGAGCGTGAGGGAAGAGGTGCATTTATTCGCGAGAGATTTGTTGAACGCCGGCTATCGGGACGTGGCATTTCTGATGTTCGATGACACGGCCACAGGTACGATTATTCGTGCAAGCGCAACGGGAGACGAGATTACATCGAGATCCGTAGGATCCTGCACGTCGGTCACGAACGATGTGGATCGGATTCCGACGTTCGCCGCGGATTCCCGTCGATTTTGCCCGCTCGGTGGCTGCACCATGAAATACGCGATCGTCACGGATGCGACAGTGAGCTTCTGGCTCAAAGAAGACACGCTCAGACTGAAACGTGAGCAAACTGTGTTCTCTAGTCTGGACACGCACACTAGGGACAGTGTTTGGAGAGTTCAATGGAATGTGGATTTTTACTCGGGCACGGGGGAGTGTGAGAGATGTAGAAGTAACTATCGCACAGCGTGGATATTTTTGAAGCGGTTGAGAGGAAAATAAAGTCTGTTGAGTTTCAGATTTGTCAAGTCATTTGAGCTAAAGCTGCTATTTTTAGTTTGTGTTTGAAATAATGCTTGGTGGAATGTTTGCTATAATGAGAGAAATTGTTAGAATTGTTGAAAAATGGTATTAAGAAAACAGTTAATTTAGAAAAGGGAGTGAAATGTTGAAATAGTGGTCTCAATATATTTGAGATTTTGTTAAAAGAATTACCTGCAGAAGGTAAAGAACAATATAAAAATCATCTTAGAAGTTGGAAATGATCATGGAAACCACTTTGCTTTTAATACATGTTTTAAGTGTACAAACAAAAATCGAAATAACAATAATATTGCTATTTTATACATTACACGGTAATAATTATTATAATAGTTCATATAAACTGCGCAGTAATCTTCGCATTAAAAATATCATAAACTGCAATCAATAACCTTGGGAATATTAAAATATTAAAATTCACTTATCGCTGTCTTTCTCTCTCATCGTCAAGGAAACGTTAATCGATGTAATTAATTCGTCGCGAGAAGAATACCGTCAAGTCACCGCGATAAATATTTAATAGTCCGGTATTTCACGAAATAATTGACGTATTTCGCTCCGAGTTTCTCGAGCATTGTGATAAATCACTTAAACGAGTATATGCTTCGTTGTTGCTAGCTCGCAACAAAGCTGTTGGTTTCATTGCCAAGGGAGCGACCTTGCAGCGATCGTTTTTCAATCACATACGCTTTCAACATCCATCACACTCGTGTCTAATGAAATGGAAGAATAGAGAACAGAAAATTTATAGGAAAATTTCGAAAATTTGTAGAGAAAAAGGTACACGCGAAACATCATTAAATCGAAATCTTTTATTTCGCAGTGATACTGATTGATAATTCATGGCTTCAGTAGCCACATTTCGTCAGATTAACGAACCTTTTAATTAAATTTTTATTGATAAAAACGTGTCATGTTGGAAAGCGATGTAGCATGTGAAGCATCGTTCAGATTAATATGATTAATTGTTACCTGAATTACCTGAATATTAATTGTAGTTGGGAACTGTTTGATAATATTGGTCTTATAAATGAAGCCAACCTTCTCTGAGTATTCTGTTCAATCATGCTTCATTTACCTGTTATTAGCTTACAGATATGTTTATGCAAATTCTTTTTCCCTGAACAGTGAAAGAAATACGATCTAAATAGAAATTTATTTCACGCTCTAAATATTATGAGTATTTTGCTTTGAATATTTTAGATATTTTTGTATATCACAAGTATTTTATATACTTTGGCACATTTAAATATTCTACAAATGTCTATTTATCGTTTTCCATTTAAATTATAAATAATATATCACTAAATCGTCACAACAGGTAACGAAACACTGCAAGCAGTAGGCGCTCTCCTCATTGAAGACTTCGGGAAGTACTACAACCTGACCGTCGACTCCAGCACAGAAATAAACATACCTTGGCCCGATGCCTTCGAAAAGCTCATGAACCGTGACATAGACATGATAGCAGGGCCGAAACCCGAAGATCTACAAATCTTAGACAACGTCGAAGTCATCTGCTGGTATATGTTCCGTGATATGGTGCTTGCCAGTTTGGTTCGTATTAGAACTATCGAGAACGACATTTTAAAGTTAGTAATGCCGTTTCATTATTTCGTCTGGATCAGCGTGTTCCTTGTATTCATTGTTTACACTCTTCTATTGATCGTGCTGAAAAAATTGTCGAGCATGGGTTTGATCAAAGAACAAGTGAAATTTGCACATATTTGGGCGATCTCGTTGTCTCAAAGCATCACGTTGCCAAGAAACCTTGGTTTGCGCCTGGTGCTGCTTTTGTGGATGATTTTCTCCCTTTATTTGAGCATCACTTATAACAGCACGTTTACCAGCTCGCTAGCTCAAGTCGACACCGAGGATCTGCTGCAGAATCTCGAGCAAGTACGTGACTCTGGTCAACCACTCAGCGGACCAGGCGTCGTACGCTCCTATTTCAACAATTCCGACGATCAGTTCATCATAGATTTGTATAAAAGGTAATCTTACCGGTCACGGTAAATTTCCAATTCCTCTCTCTATTTCGTTCCAGTCAATTCTCGTGGAAGCTCTTCGATTCGAAGTGCGTTTTAACTGGATTCCTCTTGTATTGCGTGTCTGGTACAGCGAATACTGGGAATTGGATGATGGATACTATTCGTGAAACGAGATTCTCGGCTCTACAACCGATTTATTGTCGCGTAAAAGACTTTTGAGAGTTTCATTCATTTATCGTGCGAATTTTGCAATTTCCGATATCGCTTGGCTTGATCTTATTTGATTCCTTTAGTAGGTGAATATATCTTTTTTATATTTTATAGACGAAATGGATCGAAGAGTTATATAGGTGCAAGATTTTATTGTTTTAAGTTGTTTTACTCGCTCTAATACATATTGTTCTAAGCTTTCGGAAAATTTTAAAAGTTTCTAGGATATTACCAATGTTTCTAGCATGTTGAATAAAAAGCAATCGTTAATGTTTTGCGTTTCGCGTCATACCAATAAACATACTAAAAATATTTTCGTAACAGATACGAAGTACTTGGACCCGAAGAAGCACTTGATAGTATATTCAAGAAGAATGGATTCGCTGTGTTGCAACATTTCACCGTTGACAGAATGAACTGGGATTACAGGAATAACAGAAGTCTTCGGATGTACACACTACCAAAACCAGTTTTCAGATTCCCGGTTTTCTTCTTTGCAAGAAGAGGATACATGTATCGAAGGCCTCTTCGACGACTCATTACGAAGTACCGAGAAACAGGAATGATAAAGAAACTGAGTAGTCGATTAATGATCGAGGAAGACCAGCAGATCGTTTTTAATCAAGATTCGGATGAAATTTTGACTATGAAGCATCTCCGTCCGATTTTTGAGATATTCTTCGTGTGTCAGGGTATTGGTTGTTTAATATTCCTCATCGAATTGTTAGTGACTTGTATTCTGAGAGATTCGTTATAATATTCATTGCTCGATTTTTAATTTTATTAGTTGAATCTTTGATTAATTATATTGATGAAAGATCGGTCATTTGATATCAGTAGAGTTAAGATAATTATTTCTATTATTAGACTCGATGTTAAGTACGAATAAGTGGCACAGAAATGAGCGTAATAAACTACTTTATGATATATATAGAAGCGAGACAAGTCCGAAGCAGGAAGTACAAATATGTCTGTTTGCGTAAGAAAATGACAAATCCTTGTTTTACTTCTTTGAGAGTGTTTGGTTTCCTGTTATTGCACCCGCTCTTTTCATTAAATATGACGTAAAACGTGACGCTATATATTTTGAAGGATTTTGCGAGATATTCCACCGGTTTGCATATATCAAATTGTCCTTGAAACGAGTTTTTGAAGGTTCACAGGATGTTGCGTCACATTTCTTCGTTCCCGCGGAACAATAATTCTTCGATATTACATAATCTGCAGGATGCATTATCATAAAATGCATTTCATTGAGTTTAGCATTTGTGCTTGGTTGTGAAGCAAGGTTGCGGGACAAATTTATCGAACGAAAGGGAAAACATCGCGCATGTTGTCGACGAACACCATTCACCAATAAATCTGATTTTTCAAATTGCTCCGTGCACCGTTGCACGACGAATCGTCCAACATCGTTGTTTAGGAGTATTCTTTCTAACTCGCTCGTACGGAGCTGATTCGTTTTGTTTCTTTGCCAAGACGGTCCATTTATTTTGCAACACGTGCACGCGAAACTCAACGTAACGGAATCTATATTTTCCTCTACAAAAATACCTTGATTCGTGAAATTTTCTACCATGTTGCATTGTATTTTTCATTGATTTGTTATTGGCAATCTGCTTATTCACAATCGAAATGAATACTAAATTGATTAATAAAAAGCAGATAGTATAGAACTTAAACATTGTAAGTAAGTTGAGATTTTTTAGAGACAGTGGTAAAGTAAATATAACTAGAAACATATCTTATTTTTAAGAAAAGCAAGGTCAATCTTTTCTTTGTATGTTGTTATATTTTATTTTTTACCAACTGATTGGTAAACAATTAATTAATCTATTTGACCATCAGAAGTTCTTAGAATTCTTTAAAGATTGTTTAGAGTTGAAATGATAAAATCTTTTTATTCTTAGGAAAAGTAAGGTGAATATTTCACTCCGATTTACTGTTAATGTTAATTCTTTGCAAAATACAAAGCCTTTCCTTAAAATTCTTTTCTTTTCCTTTCATCTTTCTTTTTTTCAGGCTCAAATCAGCTCGATATTTCTCTTTATTTAGAGATAATACTCCTTTGAAATCACGATGCATCGCCGTAAAAATGGCCCGAGATAGTGAAATTCTTTATTTCATTGGAATATATGAAGTAAGTTAATATGTCTACATCTTTTTGAAAGTAAGATTTTCACTAATAATAAACATTCTTTTTGATATATTAATGTATCTTTACAAGAGATATAATTTAAAGTACAAAAGTTATAAGAAAGGTATGATATTTATAATATAAATTCCAATTTGCCACCCTACATGTATATGTTCTTATAGCCTAGAATAAAATTATAAAAGATAGTAAAATAGTAACAATGCTGTAGATTGTGCAGTGTTGATGTTATGATCAACCGATATTTGATAAAGAGATAGAATCTTTAATTTAAGGAAAGTAGCTGAAGATAAATTCTGATACAGAAATGTACATATCATAATCTTAAAAGTCCCTAGATGCGGATCTTATTTTGTACTTATCTAGTTTTAAAAAAGTGCACTTATACCGCAATTTTATTAAGTTTCTCATTTATAATAAACTACAGAAAAATTGTGATAACACACTAATTTTAGTTTCGCGCGCTGATATTCGGTTCTCTTGCAACTACTGAAATACTTTGAAATTATCGAGAACCTTCTAAAATTTTAAATTCTCCTAATTATTCAAAACCAGTGGGATTATCCTTTGATCTTTCAAATGCATTAATATTTTTCGACATTCTCTTTTGAAACTTTTAAACTCTTTTCAATCCTCCGAATTCTTTGAAATTTTAAATATTCCTGAATTATTTGAGGCCTTCGGTGCTTTTCAATATCCTCAGTCCTTTCGAAGTCCTCAAATATCATCGAATTCTCGTATCTACGGTATTCTTTAACCTTCGAAATCTCTAAAACCTTTTGATCACCCCAGATTTTCCGAATTCTCCGCGACGTTAACATTCCACGGAATCCTTCGTATCTTCCATAATCCTTAGATTTACTAGTCCGTCTAATCAGCCACAACTTTCCTAAGCTCCCTTAATTCTTATCTGAGGTACTCACTGCTTATCAAATCATTCCATTGCGAGCTAACTGCAATATATTTTTTCCACATTTGTCTTCGAATATTTATCGAGCCGATTAGACCCTCGCGTCACAAGCTACCAGATGGACCTTCTTTCACTCTTCTTTATCGATCGTAAAAGTACCTCTAGAAGTCCAAGAAGGACCTCAGTACCCAATGCATGGTAAGGAATTAATTGCAATCTATCGTGGCGGGACCTTGAGCTTGGTTGTTGCGCGGAAGGCTCGTCGAAGAGCGGAGAAATTCACTTAATCAACAAAGTCAACACGGTTCACGAAGGATCGACGGAACGATTAGCGTGGCCGTTGCGAGAAGAACGAGTGTTAACAAGAACTCGTGTTTTCTATCGCAATGATCTCTCCCTCGGTACCGTTCACGCAATGTCGATTCTCCGATAGCAAAACACCAACGTTTTTTTCCCTTTCCGCGTAATTATCGTTGGTTGGTATGTTTGCAACGGCGAACACTAGGCGAGCATGACCTCCTCCACGTATGTATAGTTGGCTTGTTTTTTTCCTTTGCTGCCCGCAGAAATTTACTAGTCACTTTAACCGGTGTTTAGTAATCGGTGTTTTATTTCACTGTTGCTTCACTGTGTTACCGGTGGTAAAAAAATTTCAAATTCGTAAATTTTACGTAAAAGATCGGCTTGCTTGTAACTTCAATGTATGATGTCACCGGACACTGAAATCTGGCCTGCACTTGACAACACGTTAATCCCATCAAACTTGAAAGCGTTAACTTTTTTTTTATCTCTTCGACTGTTGGATAGATACTCGTTCAGAGATATTAGGACATTTAAAGAACGCGAGGAAAGTTAAAAACAATTAGATCTGAATTGTTAAATTGTTAAAACCTTTAACGATTGTTACTTGGTTCCAATTCATACAAAACAATTTCCACGGAATTTACATTAGAGGATTGTGGGAACCAACGCGTATGATTTTGTTTGCGGAAGCAAAAAATGATTTCGTTGTTAATATCGCGTCGACAACATTTTAAAGTTACATGAATTCGCGTTCGTCGTTAGTAAGATTCCGGCGTCATGTTCGATCGACTTCGAGAAACCATTCGAGGAGACTTGTTTACGAGATAGCAAAAGGATTATTCAATCCACCCCCGCACGATTCACGGAGAAGAATATCAATCGACCATGACGTAGCGTGCTCTTTCATCGGTTAGATCTGTCCAGCAATAGATTCTTTTGGAGAACCGGACAGCCTAACGAATCGTTTTCGAGGTTGAAACGAAAATACAAAGGGAGAAAAGGCGGTAATCGATCGTTCATACGCTCCCTTACCTTCGTTCTTACAACTGGATTCGCCCATCAATTTTCCACCTGTCCATTCGTTGTGTTTTTCCAAAGAAAAAGAAACGAAAGAGGAACTCGGAAGATTTGTAAGAAATTTCTCGGACGAAGAATTCGTTACTGAGGAGAAGTTACACACTTGACCGTAAGTATTAGGATATTTTCTGATTTAATACAAGATATATTTATTATCAAATATGTATATAAATTGGCATTAAATCAATGGATATTAAAAATATAATGCTAATACAAATTGATATTAAAAATGTATATCATTAAGAAAACGATTAATCCATCACAATTTTACATTCATACGTGATAAGGATGCAAATATTTGTAGAAATTATTTGCAAATTTCAAGAACAATACGATAAATTAAGAAAATAGCAAAGCGAATACTCTTTCGAAGAAATCTGTATATTATCCTGAATATTTACGAAATCGTACAAAATATTAGAAAAGGGTTCAATTCAAAAGGATATCTTTTTTTTGTTAATTTTATTTCATTTCGGTCCTACGGCATGGTAGTAAAGAATTTTCGAGAAATATTATTCTTATTCATGTTTTCTTGGTATTCCTAATTCTTTACAATGGTAAAGATAAGTTCATAAGATTCCTTCATATGAGTTTCTATAATATCTTCGTCGTTTGATCTGGTTCATCGATCCAAAACGCGCTTTAATACAATTTATTTGACGCCAATAAAGTATTTATACTGCTTACGCATGATAATGGAACGACGTGATTATTTGTTTTGAATGATTAGAAGATACCCAAGAAATATTCAAAGATTACACGAATATCCGTTTTAGATAGAAACGAGGGCAAAGGTGTAAGTTAGACAAAAAAGTTCCTGAAAAGTTTATTGGATAGCCTGGTTGGATAACAAATTTTGTAACGGAAGCTGCATTATAAAGATTAGTTTTAAATTGAAGATTAAAAAAGAAAGATATTACAAATTATCAACTATAAAACACGAGAGTGTTAACACTTTAATTAATGATAAGGTGGTATCACCTTAAAATTACGTTCTTATGTTTTCTCCTGTTAACAAGACGGTCAGGAAAAAAAATGAAATTTCTTTCGTTAATTATCTATGTACTACGTTTAACGAGATAGATATTTTATTAAATTATATGGAAGATCGTACCTTACTCTTCAAGGATACAATTTCGCTTAACCTCGATATTCAGTACTGAATCCTTGGAATTCCGTGCACGTTGTTCAATACAGGCTATGAATCAGGCTCCAATAAATTAGAATTTAACATAAACACAAGCCAGCTTAGTTACATGAGACTGTACCTATATCTGTTGTTTATTATTAGTGCGTTATTTATCATCGATCCATTTCAAGTTGCTTTTGGATCAGCACTCATAAATAATGGAACGGGAAAGGCTTCGTTATTTATCACGTCGTCGATCAAAAATTTACCGGTCAAAAATACAAGTTATCTGACAGAGTCAATTATCGAGAAGTGTATAAACAATTCACAGCGAAAGTGAAGAGTTTAATTGAAATTAGACTTTCTTTTCTTCAAAAGTTCTCTATTCTTTTTTTTCTGTATAATATCTTCTGTATAAGTTTTTTACAGACCGCAATGAATAATAATGACACCATATTCAAAATTCAAGATAAAAATTCATATACACGTTCATATATCTGTATAATAATTTAATTTTTTATTAGACGTTCACATACACGTTCATATATATAATAATTTCATTATTTAGTAAAAGTTCATTAATTTCATATGTGTTACTTTAGTGTAATAGGGAGAGTCCGTAATAACAATTTATCTCTCACGTAGCGTGTTGTCAGTCCATGATACCACAGTATCTAAAAATGGTGGCTCGATAACAATGTCGTGACATCACGCTAAAAGGTGCTACCCATTGACTCCGTAAGCTGTTAAAAATATACTCTTCGTCAGCTAATTTGGAATATTAAATACATACTTCTAATCTTTTATTGTTGTGTACGTTTGGAATTTTAAA